TGATGTGGTATACATATATGCGAGTTGTTTTTTAAAAAAAATACTTCCATGAATGACAAATTTACAGTCCGGACACGAATGTGTGTACTTTTAAACCGTAAGTATGAGAATGTTAACCTTCAAACAGTAAGTGAGACCATAAAAAATAAAGACTCCAGTAATTCGGACCAATTTAGTCGCCTCACACAGGGTAAATAGGTGGACGCAATACCTATGCCACTCCCGTAAAGGCAACCCCTCCGCCACAAGTTTGGCTTTTGATTCAATAAATGTGTTCTCCATCATAGTGTCCTTTTACTTTTTTTTAAAGATTATTAAATCAATATAGTATAATTAAGTTCAAATGTGTCAACGAATAAAAAGAGATTTACCGAGGACTACAAATAAAATATACTAATAACTTTTTTTGATTTATAAGCACAGTATTATTGATACATCAAGTATGGTTTGGGTGTCACTGTGTCAGGGACTGCGTCCTGTGACAGTTGCCTTTGTCTTGTCGATCTTTATTTTTTTTTTTATATTAAATTTTTAAACTACAAAGAAGTATTGTTTTAAAAATCAAACGTCGATGATTAAAAGAATGTCAACGGTTTAAACTGTTCATTTAGTGAAAATATCAAAACATTTAAACATGACATCCGGCCAACATTGCCAACCAAGAGAATGTTTTGTAATACATTCAGATTTTCTATCTCCGATCACTTTAGATCTTATGTTTTTAGAGTTAGGCAATGTCCTTTAAATATTGCATCTGATGATAATAGAGAACGAGTAAACAAATATTAAAGCTTAAAGCAAAATCTTTGACAGTGTCTGAGAAAAGTGACCTTAAGCTATTACCTATAAACGGTAACAGTGATCTTTACATATATTGACCTAGGTGTGACAAGTGAACTCATCAATGTCTATACATATTAGCATTGAAGTTAATGACCATAAACGAAGACTAAAATAAAAAGATTAAGCAGTGCCGATTCTGACGACGAAGCTTGCGCCGACAAGTGGGTCATGACAATACTTTCAATTTTTCAGTCATTAAGTGAATCTATTGACTCGTTCTTTAAAAACCTACTTTGGCCAGTAAAACTGATAGTTAGGACAAAGTTCATTACTTTGCTGTTTTATATAATATGATAATATCTCTTTTACCATTGCGTGATGTTATAAAATAAGACGTTAGTACATATTTTAATTGGTCTTTACGGCAATCATATTTTTCAATCAAAATATCAAATAAATTCTGAAAATATGAAAAGCAGACTCAATATTACTGAGTCTGTTCTATACAAACGAGATGATAAATAGGGAATCGTCTTTCACCTACACCATAGCACCGGTTTTAACGATATTCAATTCGCAAGTAGTAAGATAATTATCTAGGTAAAATTAAATCCTGTGCAGTGTAGTATGTAAAGCTGTTGGAAACTTTCCAATTGTCTGCAGAAAAAACACACTATTGACAAAATGTCTATTTGCATTCATCAAGCTTACAAATTTAAACATTTACATTCCAAAAGATGATTTATATATTATAGGTATACCGTGGACAACAGATTGATGAGAGAACATTATAATTTTGTATCATCATTTTGTCTGTATTTGTATTACAAAAATAGTCATATCTTTACACATGTGATCTGCTTTAATGCTTTTTCAGTTCTTCTTATGAAGAAAATATTAAGTACAACAAGTAAAAACAGAAGATGAAAAGCCGTCAAATATATGTAAACCAGGTGTCCAAGAAAAGTACTTGCACTATAACTGATGTTTCATTAAGAACACCAATGCTTCAATTAAATGTGAATATTATCAGTCAATCTTATTCTGTCTCCCAAAAACTCATATTTTAATTATATTTAACTCGTCTGTTTAACAAAGTCTCTAGGAAGGAAGATAATGTTACCGTTGGATATACGTACCGTACACATCATAAACAATTGAGAAACCGATACACAAACGGTTATTTCCTTATTTGTATTGTTGCTCTAAATATAAACGATATTACAAGTGTTTTCTTCATATTGAATTGATTCTAAACTTGTAAATCATGCATTAAAACTATTGTATAATATATTTTGACATGTTTGTCATTTGACAAGAACATTGATGTTTAATATGATATGACAGATAGCGTGGGACTCATACAAATCACATTGAAAGCGCAGTTCGTTATTTCTTTAGTCTGTTTAATTATCAATTTGTCTGGAAGCCTAAGTTAGATACTTGAAAGACGCAATTTCTAAATAAATTTAATATTAACTTTATAATCAAATTCACCTGCTCCTTTATAATTCCAAAAAGAAAAAAAAGATTATAAACAGTGTACTAAATTTGATATGAAATTATATTGTCTGGTAAAGAGAAAAGTGATTCCATGAAAGCCTTATTTGTTTGTCCTGACGAAGTCCGCCTAAAATCAAATTGACTTTCTGTAAAATTAATAGGGAAGGACTGAATATAAGAAGAATTTTTATTGATCATATTAAAATAAAAAACTGAAATCGGGAATTTCATTAAATAAAATGTAAAGGATAGTTCTAAATATTAATGTAAAATTTAAAGGATAGCTTTAAAATAAAATGAAAGTGGTGGTTCTTGCATTATAAAATAAAAAGTAAAGGATAGTCCTAAAATAACATGTACAAGAATGAGGATAGTTCTTACATTTCAGGTTAAATTGCTATGGAATTTCAGTTAGCCTCGAACGTTCTCTAAAATCATCATTTAAAATGATGTTTGACCCGTCTAAAGAAGGGAAAATTTAATCATTTATGAGGCATACCAGTGCCTTTAAGTACTTTTTTTTAAAATCTAACATGACATTCAGTATATATAGAAACAATTTACATCGAATGTAAAAACGAACTGCAGTGAAATTATTGGGTACAAAATATTTTTTTTTATATTTTTGTATGTGCATCGAGGCTTCACATTTTCATCCAATTAATGTAGTGTGTGGGATTTTAAACCACTTTTAGGTCTATTTCTAGCTTTCGAGTGTTTTATATTTTTCTTTTGTATCATATCTGTTTGCATTAAATTACTGATAAAACGTTTGCTGATTTTATATGTTTATTTCTATTTGCAATATTTCATGAATGTGATTTTTTTAAATAATACTGTCAATATTGCATATCATTACAAAATATATAAAGTCAAACGTAAAAAAGTAAAAGGGACACCTAAATGAATACTGTAAATAGAAGTTGTCATTCTTTGAAAAGACATAAACATGTTATATATAATTTCGATGTTTACAAAATGGGTTTTTCTAAGCTAAAAGAAATATTTATTATGTTATTGTTACGCAAGCATTGCTAACATTTTTATTTGTTTCATAAACGTATGCAGGTTTACCAGTTTTACTTCGGCCGAATATCTTTTTAAACATACTTCTTGTTTTCTTATGTTTCGATGCTGATTTAGACATTTGTTCATCATATTTAAACGGGTGGATCGGATTAACCGGCTTCTCTTTCTTCGCTAGTGACGGATAAGTTATACTACATGATATCTGAATAAGCGGTGGTAGACACATGAAATTAGTAACTGGAAATTTTCATTTTGCCCGAGTAAACAAGTAAGCATTGTTCAAGAGCTAGAAAGTAAATAAACGACGAGTTAATTATTTGTTTTACTCAAATGTTGACATTTTCCTTATCCAAACCCTCATACTGCTTGTTTATTCAATGTTTTGCAAAATCAAAAAAAAAAAAAAAAAAAAAAGCAAATAAACAGACATATTGTCAGGGCATTAAAAGGAACAGACATGTGCTAATTTCAATATTCAGTTCTTAGTATGTTATAGAATAATCACTTATTTAAGAAATGATAACGATTTGAAGTATGGGTGTTCCTATTTAATAGCAATCTAATTAAAAATTATTCTTTTGAGTTATCCACTTAATTTGAGATGGCGATCCATATTTTTTTTTTTGAAGAGCAAATAATAATATTGATTGGTATCTAATTACAAAGATTACAGAAAAATGTTTTCAAGTTTAATAATGTCATTAGCTTAATCTACATAACTTACATGTAAAAGACCCCCAGGACATGTGTGTTATCAACCTGATGTAATCAGACAAGCCACACAAACACGAACATTTAGTAATTTAATTTAATTGCAAACGTTTCGGCTATATGCCTTCATCAGTGCAAAACATAATAAAATTACCGGAAGCGACGTCATAACGGAACACGCGTTAAACGCGCGAAAAAAGTTATGGCGTTTAGCGGCAAAACTATGATAACATGTAGAAACAAATATTTATGCTATAAATAAAGCTGGTACATGAATTAAAATGGATCAACAGTGATACAGATGTCTATTAGACAGTGTTAATAAAAATAAGATAATAGACAAACATATTAATATTCATGTAACCTATTATAAATCAAACAATACTTTATTATTTAGTCCATTTGGAATCATAGTATTTAATTTATGGATCCAAAAAGATTCTTTACATAACCGGTCCATGTTGTTGTCTATAATTTCTATAGGTAAAAATGAAAAATCTGACAATGAACACTTATTATCGTTTGATCCGAAATGGATCGCAACATGTGAAACTGGATTAACGTCACAATTTCTTATATCAAATTAGAAATATAAGAAATTGTGACGTTAATCCAGTTTCACATGTTGCGATCCATTTCGGATCAAACGATAATAAGTGTTCATTGTCAGATTTTTCATTTTTACCTATAGAAATTATAGACAACAACATGGACCGGTTATGTAAAGAATCTTTTTGGATCCATAAATTAAATACTATGATTCCAAATGGACTAAATAATAAAGTATTGTTTGTTTTATCAACCTGATGTGTAATTTCCAAAAATGCTCGTACATCTTACTTTTGTTGATTTAAATTTTGTTGTATTTAATACTTTGTTAGTTTTAGAAAGAAAGCATGTGCAATTTACTTTATTTCAAAATAAATGATATTGATTAACAAAGCAAAATGATATAACAATTGATAAAAAGCATAATATTTCAAAATTTTATTTTAATGTTATTACAATAATGTTATGTTACATTGTCATTCATATTTGAAACTAATTTAATTTTTATTCTGTAAATGTGTCCCTTCAATATATCCAATATTTAAAGATACAACACGTTCTATAAGTATTCGATACTTGAAACGAAAAAAAATGTTCTGTAAATAAAAATCAGAAAATTTGGTCATTGTAATGTCAATTTTTTATAATTCCATTGTAAATACATTGTTAAAAACTACAAAAGCTATTTAACATAACCAATTTACCATTTATTCACATTTCTATAATTTATAAAATCATAGTCGTCATAACCACCTATAATTATGTTTAAATCCTGACCGAATGTGAAAAACAATAAACAGTCGAAAATAAAACAAGAATAAATACAAATATCTCTGGCTTCATTGCCTCAGAAACATTTGTCTTGTCACTTTCAGCTTCGAGTTCTATGAATGCTGCACCTCTGTTGATAACAATCGGTGTATTTAGACGCATATTCATGTGTCCGAACTCTGCACCACTTATTACCAATTTTGAATGATTTGATACTTTTACAGCAGAAATGGCGATAAAAGTCTCATTTACATCAATATTCAGGATACTTCCTCTGTATTTTATCCCATGCATACCCCATGACGTTGTTTTTGGCAAAGGTGTAGGATTGATTTCTAGTTTGTCAGGATGTAAACGAACGCCGCCATATCCGAAAACAATAGACTGAAGAAGTCCTCCTGCTCCGGTAATAAAGTTGACACAACCTCCGTATGACTTGTTAGTCACTGGTTTCTCGCTAAAAACCTACATTAAATACATTGATACAGTATAGAAAACCTTTAAGTGTGACAGAATATTTTTCATGTCAAACATGTTGATTGAACGCTACCTTCTTAAATTCAATTTCAACAAAAGAAGCAAATAACCAACAACAAAAACATTATTATAATGGACCGTAACAATTACAAGTTAAACTGTCAAAGTACAAAGTAATTAATTAAAGCCAGCGTATAACACTTAATTTTCACAGCATTTACCTGATACATTTACGTGTATGAAAATGCAGAAAATGTCCATGTCCCGTTAGATTTATAATTAAGTGATAAAAAGTAAATCCCGTTACATATAAGTATAGAGAAAGTTCAGTAAAACAGATTTATTTTCATCCTTAACAGCATAACTCAATTTACGAATCCTGCAAATAAATAGGTACGGTATGTTGTCAAAGTACTCATAAATTGATTACACTTACTAATCACAATAATAACCTAAAATGTGTAAGAACATTTTCCTGTTTGTTACGGGTTAGAAAACTTGTAATATAATAGTAAATTCATTTATTGACTAACAAAAAACAAAGATGGTATTGTTATATGAAGATAATTTTATGATATGAGATCAAAATAGTTAATCATATATATTCATATCATAAAAATTATCACAAATTATCACAAACATGTTGCGTTTGCTCACACAAAAAATATCAGATAAATGAATGAATTCAAATAAGGATTTAAAACAACAGAATTTCTAGTATGTGTGTATATGTATGTGTGTATGTATTTTGAAACATTGATTTACGACAGTTCAGCAAATGTACTAACCTTAAATGGTTCATTGATATTTCGAAACATCATACGAAAGTTTTTATAAGCTCGTT